ACAAGTGTCCCTGAACTTCAGTGAAGTATAAGCCACCAAGCTCCGCCCAAGGGTGACCACAGAAGTAGACAACTTACGTACCAGAAACTTCAACCAGCAACCCCAGACAGTTATGTAGGATTGCTTCATTCCAGAGAGCAGAGCTGGCACCCGTGGGCAGAAGTTTCGAGGGGATAGATTCCAGTTCTGGAGAGAGATGAACCCTGTAACTCTCAGAGGCGCCTTTAAGCAGCGCGCTCTCCATCATGAAAGGTGTTCTGGCAGCGGCCGAGGATCACCCCCGAGGAGTGCTACTGCCTTGGACAAGATCCTGAGTCTCGCCCAATAGCAAGGTTCTCTGGTTAGCACCAAATGAGTGGCTCAACAATTGATGTTGTGGAGCTTCAGGGGCAGGACAAACAGTCATGGACTGTAGTTGGCGGCCCCAGGCCCCGATGCTTAGGCCAGGCCTTGAGGGTGGGGAGGTGTCAGGTTAGGTGGGAGACCCCCAGCATGTTGCAGGCCCAGGAAAGCACCCCTGACCTGCAGAGTAAAGGGGCTCCTGCTTAGCTGGCTGCCAGCCTCGCAAAGGGGAATTAATTATTGTTTGCGATGCAATTAAAATCCCCCAATGAAAGGCCTTGTATAAATGTAAATTATCATTATTGTCATTAAAGGGGCTAGACGTCTGGCCTGCTAGATAATGCCCCCACATAGCTCTGAGCAGAAAAGAAAGCCAGCCCAAGGCAGGAAGTTTGCTCCTGTTCTTCCAAAGCAATAGCAGTAAGAAGGGGCAGGCCAGGGAGGGCTCAGCCTGTGGCTGTGAAAGCGGAGCTCCCCACTCTCATCCAGGGTTAGCATGCAGCTCTCTCTGCTCTGGGAGTCAAGCTGTGAGTGCCCAGAGGGCCAGGGCCCTGCCCAAATGCAGCCCCTTAGCCCTGCAGGAACCAGCCCATGACTAGCACAGGAGTGGCCCATGAACGTGTGAATGTTTAGTTGTCTGATTTGAAGGGTGGAAGGAACATGAGCAGGATGGATATTGGCCAGCATTCTTGGGGTCCTAAGTCAGATCTGGAGACAAAGGGGAGATAGACGGCTCAGACCTGTGCAGCACCTCTGATGATGCTTATGGAGGCTCTTGAGGGAACCCCTCCAGCAAAGCACTGGGAGAGGTCATTTGTTAAATTACTGCTTCCACTTAAGAAACTGTCTCTGGCTAAAGTGGTTGGATTAATACCAAAGCAGAAATAATAGTAATGGATAATAGTATATTAGACCGAGCAGTGACCTCAGAAACCATCCCCTCACTTTGCAGATGAGGCATCCCTGGGGTACAGGGAGGTGAAGTGGCTTCTCCAAAGTGGCATAGCAGAGAAAAGCAGAGCTGGAATCACAGCTCAAGCTCCCCATGCCAAGTCCGCAGTTTGACTGTGCGGGATTGTGACACCTCCTCTGTGACAGCACTTCACAGAGATACTACTCCTCATCAACCCTAGGGAGTTTTAAGATGATCTTTATGTTACAGGAACCTTCTGGGCTTCCTTTGCTCTTCTGGGGCTCATTATTTGGAGAACATTTGTGGTCCCTCACATGTCACCTGGGTGGACTGCATGTACTCTGCTTCTTGCACTTCTTTTCCTTCCCCAGACACTCAGAGTAGCCTTCATTCTTCACTAGGATGCCCCAGCCCTTCCAAGAACCACATGGGCCCGTGAGAGGGAGGTCGAGGTCATCCCTTTGGTCTCTTGTCATCACAGTCATAATTCTGCTGAAAAGCTACACAATGCAGGTCCCTAGATAAGAGCTAACAGCACCAGTCAATACCTGCAGACACACAGAGCTACCAGAGATAGGGTCATTTAGCGGGTTTTGTAGAACAAATGTAGGTGCAATGGGGCTTGGCAGTAAGTAGCCCTCGAAATTCATTACTGAGCTGTTGGCAGCTCTAGGAAAGGTTTAAAGGGGGAGACTAAAATACTGCCACAATGAGGTTTGGGATGGGAGAGTGCATGAAATCAAAAAATTTTAGAAATTATTTATCTTACTCCCTTACTGCATAGATGAGAAAACAGCAGTTATTCACCATTATACGGCAGAGCCAGGGACAGAACCCAAAGCTCCCGACTCAGTGGACAGTACACTTTCCACTGGAAATCATGGTGGCATGGGAAGAATGTGCCCTTTGGAGTCAAACAGCTCTGGATTCCTAACTAGCATTGCCACCTATTAGCTGTGTGATCTTAGAAAAGTTACTTTGGGCCAGGCATGGTGGCTCACACCTATAATTTCAGAACTTTGGAAGGCTAAGGCAGGAGGATCACTTGAGCTCAGGAGTTTGAGACCAGCCTAGGCAACATAGTGAGACCCGTAACATAGTGAAACCCCATCTCTAAAAAAAAATTAATTAGCTGGGCATGGTGGTGCACTCCTATAGTCCTAGCTACTCGGGAGGCTGAGGCAGGAGGATCACTTGAGCCTTGGAGGTCGAGGCTGCAGTGAGCCAATATCGTACCACCACACTCCAGCCTGGGTGACAGAGTGCAGAGAGAGAGACCTCAATCTCAAAAAAGAAAAGAAAACTTACTTTCCATCTCTGGTCATAGATTTATTTTTGGCAAAAATAGAATCACCTGCCTGGTAGTAGGCCTGTTAGAAGGAGTAAATATAAAATAATATACATGAAAACAAGTAGCATGATATCTGGCACGTAGTAGTTGCCTCCCTTTCCTTATACTCATGGCTTCCAGCCTTTTTTTTTTTTTAACCACAATCCACAAGATATTTTACATTTGAATCCAGTATATATAACTAAAACAAAAGTGCCACATACAGTGCACCCTGATTTTATTTCACTTTATTTTAATGCTGCTCAGAACCCACGAAATGGATTTTGCAACCCACTGTTTGAACAAGCCTACTTTACACCACGTGTGGGTATCATTCATCCAGGTTGCATATATGCCCTTCCTTTCCTTCCCTCCCTCCTTCTCTGTACCTGGAGCCTGGGGCCACAGAGCTACCTGCTGTCAGCACGTGCAGGGCCCGTGCTGGTGCAGTGTGGAGTGAGCCCTGCGGCCCAGCCAGAGCAAGTGCATCTCCTCCTCCTGTGCTTCTCCCCAGCCTCTCTACTGCATGATTGCAGAAGACTCCTAAGGCCCCTCCAGCCAGACATGCTGCTCCCTGCCAGCCTGCATGGAACTTCCCCACACCCTACCCCAGCAGAGCCCACCTGAAGTTCCTGCTGTGAGGATTACTCTTGTTACCAAAGGCCACTGTCTCTAGAAGGCCACTGTACCCCAGCAGGGAGTGGAGTTTGGACACCCTCTCCCATTGAGTACTTTCTTCTTTGGGAATTGCTGCTTTTCTGTCTGAAGCCCAGAGAGCCAGGTGTCTGGGGGTGTGATTTTAGCTGTCCGGGGGATGAGGGTGAAGAGAGGAGGGACCATGGCCATCTTGCTGCCCCTCCCCCACATCCTCAAACACCCAGCCAGGGGGGTGAATGTCCCAGAGTGCTGGCTGACCAAAATCTGTGCCCAAAAGCCAGCATGCAGAGACTGAGCACCTGTGGAAGCCATGAGCTCTGGCCTCTGGATGCTGAGATCTGGTGGAAGAAATTGAACTTATAACCAGGCAAATAACACTTCAAAGCCCTAGAGAGCGTCAGGGGAGGGAAGGTTAGCGGCCCCAAGGAGTTGGTCTCCTAAGTGTTCCTCAGGCCCTCCTTTGGGAGTCTGGTACTTTGCTGTGGAGGCTGATGCCTGGCCGTGCCGCGCACAAACCTCGGAGCACTGTCCCAGCTGGGGTGTGACTTGGGGCCTGGACCCACATTCCAGGGTCAGCTCTGCTGGGTCCCTGGGCAGTTCCTCTTTGAGGGCCACCCTTTGGTTTTTCACCTTTCGATGACTAAGAAGTGGAGGGTAATCTGTGACCTTGGTGGTGACTCACCACCATCGGACAGGCGGCCCACTTCTCCCCGCAGGTGAGCTGCGTGAGTAGCCCTCCTCCTGGCTGGGACTGTGGCGAGCTCCCTGCACCCCACCCCAGGCAGCCACGTGGCCATCAGCACATCATGGCCTGTGCTGAGTGCCTGCTCCTACAGCCCTGGGCAGAGTGAGCAGAGGACTCACTATCTGGGCATACCAGGCAGGTGCAGATGGGGAGACAAGATAAATCCAGGGCTGGGGCTCTTCTCTGGGTTCCCAGGCCCCAGGCAGCAGCGCATTCCTTAGCCCCCCACACCCACCACCTGGCCTCGTTCCCAGCCCCGGCCCAGCCAGGTGCACCCATCCTCCCAGCCTTTCTCAGTGCCACACAACCATTCCTGCCTCTCATCAAGCAGGTTATGATGGGCACGGCAGTCCGAGAGGGAGGGGGATGGAGAGGACTGGCTCACACTCCTCCTACTAGCTCTGGGGCCTCAGGTCAACCCCCTGGGCAAACAGGCATTCATTTAGCACCAAATTGACATTCACCTGCTAGGAACTTCTGACAAGGTGAGCACCAAGGGCACTAAGGGTGAACCATCCCCAAATTCTGCCCTCTAGGCACTTACAGGGATGACTTATGCTAACGTATCATTAGGATATGCAGTGCCACAGGAACCATCCTAACCTCCCGCCCTTAGTCTCCCCTTCCCCTTCCCTGTAATGTTTGACCTCGGTGGTTTCCTTTTTCCTTCTATTACAACGTTCTGTCATTCTAAAGTATATCTTAAGTAAGCTAAATGCTTGCATTTGAGAAATATTTATTGAGCTGGTGTGTGTTGGACACTATATTCCAGGCTGGGGATGCAAAGATGGATGAATATGACCCATGGGCCTTGCCCTCACGGAGCTTTTCCCAGGGTGTGAGAGAATAGTTGGTATGTGTAGATGCGTGCACACATCTGCGATGAACACCAGAGAAGGAAGCTGGTCCCATGGCCGGCGGAGGCTCAGGAGCCCATTAGGACTACCCTGTCCCTCCCTCCATTTAGCCAGCTGGCCCTCCCTTCTCCTCCTCCTTCTCATCTGCTGCACCAGGGGATGCCAAGGGAGCAGAGATGCCTGCAGCCCGTGGGAGCAAGTCCTGGCCTTTGCAGTTGCAAAAACTGGCTGCAAGCTGCTCCAGCCCCAGAGGAACTGGCCAAGCTCCAGAGGGCCTCCTTGGAGGGCCTCAGAGGGAGAGAGAACTGCTCAGTAATTTTGATCACTTTGGTAAGTATTTAAAAATACCCTGTGATTTAGCAGGAACCAGAATCCATCCCAATACTTTGATGTCTAGAAATGGATTTCAGTCCGTTGTTGTTGAAGTCCTCCTAAAACGGCATTTGATTTAATTCAACACATACTGAGACCACAGTCAGCCTTCTCGCAGGCGAGGAAGCCGAGCTGTATAAATTGTAGTCTAGACACCAATCTAAACATCTCAAACACGAGGCAGACATAGCTCAGCCCGAGGTTGGAGGCCCAGCGTGCTGTGGAATCGAGTAGAGGGGAGATTGATTCCAGCTGAGGGCAAGGGCCTCTGCCTGAAGCTGTGAGCATGTGATACTGTGTGCTCGCTGCGATATCAAGCCTCTGCATCTCAAGTTTGTTAATTTCCTTGTTTTGCAAGCTTAGACCCCCTGAAAAGAAACCAGGCATGCTCAGGGGTTGGCGCATTTAGCAAGATTGACTGTGTAGGTGAGCCATTTACAAGCACTTGTTTGTTCCTAAAGCCCACACCCGAGAGCCAGGCTGCCATCGCCCCGGGCATAATTACAAAACAAGCTCCCATCGTGCCAGTCACTCACTCACCAAGGCACCCAGTTGGATGGCAGTTGTCACAGGGGCCTTTGGAGGGTTAGGGGGTAAGGGCATTGAAACAGAAGCAGGTCTCTTTGTAGCCAGCCTGTTGTGAGGATGACCCTTTGACACGAGGCCCTTTGACACGAGGCCCTTTGACACGAGGCGAGTAACCCCAAGTGAGTCAGAATTTACAGTGGCGGTTCAGGACAATAAGGACAAGGCAAGACCACGAGGCATGATTAGCAGGACTTGTCTTACACTATTTACAGGACTGCTTTGATTTTCAGACCACAATCGGTTTTCATATGACTGATTAAAAACATGTGCCAGTTGAAGTCACAGCTGCAGAAGAAAACTGGAAAAAGCAATGAGCCTTAGATGTTGGAACTTGCCTCTATTTGCAAAAATGACCTCTGACTTGATTTATGCCCTTGATTTCCTGACAGTGAGGGCTGTGTCCCTGAACCACTTCTCCTACCACACCCCACCCTACCACCACATTGGCCTGACTCTAGCAAACATCATGAGGCTCATCTTACAATTACCCAGAGAAAAGCATTTTTGAATTCCAGAATTCAAGTCCTGTTTTGGAAGAAGGCAACTGTTAGGCTCTTGCAAAATAAAAAGTTCCAAGTAAAGGAGGCTAACAGCAACAAGACCACAGGGTCTCTTCCACGGGGCTGGGCTCTAGTGGCACTGGGGTTGGACGATATTGGCAGGCATCTTAACTACACTTGTTAAGCTTCTGTTTTCTCACCTGCAAAATGGGGAGCATGACCCCTGCCACACCCGGTAGTGTTGCAAGAATCACCTGTGCAAAGCTTAACTGCCTTAGGTGCTCTCTCCCTGCCCCCAGAGTCCCCAACCTCTTTGGATTGTATATTCTGTTTTTGTTTTCATTTATTTAAAGCTATATTGATTCAGTTTGTCAGATGTCTATTTTATGGATTTTTATTCTTTTGAAAAGATCTATTGAATCAATAGAGCACTATAATTCCAGTAGGAAAGAACCCTTTTGATGAGACTTCATTGAACAAAAGTTCCTATTGGCCTCAACCCCAAGGCCTCTGAGCATTTCCCTGATGGCTTCCTGTCTTCACTTTCTTCCGTCTTCCTAGACCCCTTCTCTAGAAGCCAACTGTTATGTCATTTTCCAGGCATTACCCCCTGATTACTTAATGCTTCCTGAGCCAGAGGGCAGAGGGGTGGCCGAGAGGAACAGGCCTTCATGTCCCCCACAAAACTGTCTATGGCACTTTTTGCTTGGGGCTCTGCAGTGTTCACTAACCCTGCCCCATTTGTATAAAACTATGCAGATAAAAACTATCCTATGCAGATAAAAGCTGTCCAATAATAACCCAACTGCTTCCCACCACCTTTACAGCATTACCACCTCCTACTGAAACTTGCCTTGTATCAGGCCCTGGACTTGGTACTTGATACGTATTTCCATTCTCCTCACAACCTCCCTGAAAAGAGGTGCTAGTCAATAAAAAATGATAAAGGGGCTATCACCACTGACCCCACAGAAATACAACCAACCATCAGAGTATACTATAAACACCTCTGTGCAAATAAGCTAGAAAATCTAGATGAAATGAATAAATTCCTGGACACACACCCCCTCCCAAGACTGAACCAGGAAGAAGTTGAATCCCTGAATAGACCAATAACAAGTTCTGAAATTGAGGCAGTAATAAATAGCCTACAAACCAAAAAAAGCCCAGGATCAGATGGATTTACAGCTGAATTCTACCAGAGGTACCAAGAGGAGCTGGTACCGTTTCTTCTGAAACTATTCCAAACAATTGAAAAGGAGGGACTTTTCCGTAACTCATTTTATGAGGGCAGCATTGTCCTGATACCAAAACCTGGCAGATACAACAAAAAAAGAAAACTTCAGGCCAGTACCCCTGATGAACATCAGTGCAAAAATCCTCAATAAAATGCTGGCAAACTGAATCCAGCAGCACATCAAAAACCTTATCCACCACAATCAAGTCGGCTTCATCCCCAGGATGCAAGGCTGGTTCAACATATGCAAATCAATAAACGTAATTCATCACATAAATAGAACTAAAGACAAAAACCACATGATTCTCTCAATAGATGCAGAAAAGGCCTTCAATAAAATTCAACATCCCTTCATGTTAAAAACTCTCAATAAACTAGGTATTGATGGAACATACCTCAAAATAATAAGAGCCATTTATGACAAACCCACAGCCAATATCATACTGAACAGGCAAAAGCCGGAAGCCTTCCCAGCACAAGGCAAGGATGCCCTCCCTCACCACTCCTATTCAACATAGTATTGGAAGTTCTGGCCAGAGAAATAAGGCAAAAGGAAGAAATAAAGGTTATTCAATAGGAAGAGAGTAAGTCAAACGGTCTCTGTTTGCAGATGCCATGATTTTATATCTAGAAAACCCCATTGTCTCAGCCCAAAAGCTTCTTAAGCTGATAAGCAACTTCAGCAAAATCTCAGGATACAAAATCAATGTGCAAAAATCACAAGCATTCTTATACACCAACAGTAGACAAGCAGAGAGCCAAATCATGAATGAACTCCCATTCACAGTTGCTATAAAGAGAATGAAATACCTAGGAATACAACTTACAAGGTGTGTGAAGGACCTCTTCAAGGAGAACTACAAACTACTGCTCAAGGAAGTCAGAGAGGACACAAACAAATGGAAAAACATTCCAAGCTCATGGATAGGAAGAATCAATATCACGAAAATAGCCATACTGCCCAAAGCAATTTATAGATTCAATGCTTTTTCCCATTAAGCTACCATTGACATTCTTCACAGAATTTTAAAAAGACTACATTAAAATTCATGTGGAACTAAAAAAGAGCCCATATAGCCAAGACAATCCTAAGCAAAAAGAACAAAGTAGCATCACACTACCTAACTTCAAACTATACTACAGTAACCAAAACAACATGGTACCAGTACAAAAACAGACACATAAACCAATGGAACAGAATGGAGATCTCAGAAATAAGACCGCACATTTACAACCATCTGATTTTCGACAAACATGACAAAAACAAGCAATGGGGAAAGGATTCCCTATTTAATAAATGGTGCTGGGAAAACTGGCTAGCCATATGCGGAAAATTGAAACTGGACCCCTTCCTTACACCTTATACAAAAATTAACTCAAGATGGATTAAAGACTTAACTATAAAACCCAAAACTATAAAAATCCTAGAAGAAAATCTAGGCAATACCACTCAGGAAATAGGCATGGGCAAAGACTTCATGACAAAAACATCAAAAGCAATTGCAACAAAAGCAAAAATTGACTAATGGGATCTAATTAAACTAAAGAGCTTCTGCACAGCAAAAGAAACTGTCTTCAAAATGAACAGACAACCTACAGAATGGGAGAAAAATTTTGCAATCTATCCATCTGACAAAGGTGTAATATGCAAATCTACAAGGAACTTAAATTTATAGGAAAAAAACAACTCCATTAAAAAGTGGGCAAAGGACATGAACAGACACTATTCAAAAGAAGACATTTATGCAGCCAAGAAACATATGAAAAAATATCAACATCACTGATCATTAGAGAAACACAAATCAAAACCACAATGAGATACCATCTCATGCCAAGCAGAATGGCAATTAAAAAGTCAAGAAACAACAGATGCCAGCAAGGCTGTGGAGAAATATGAACGCTTTTACACTGTTGGTGGGAATGTAAATTAGTTTGGCCATTGTGGAAGACAGTGTGGCAATTCCTCAAAGACCTAGAACCAGAAATATCATTTGACCCAGCAATCCCATTACTGGGCATATGCCCAAAGGAATATAAATCATTCTCTTTTAAAGATACATGCATGCATATGTTCATTGCAGTACTATTCACAATAGCAAAGACATGGAATCAACCCAGTCCTTCAATGATAGGCTGGGTACAGAAAATGTGGTACACATACACCATGGAATACTATGCAGCCATAAAAAGGAATGAGATCATGTCTTTTGCAGGGACATGGTTTGAGCTAGAAGCCATTATCCTCAGCAAACTAACACAGGAACAGAAAACCAAACACATGTTCTCACTGATAAGTGGGAGCTGAACAATGAGAACACATGGACACAGGGAGGGGAACATCACACACTGGAGCCTGCTGGTGGGTGGCAGGGTGGGAGGGAGAGCTTCAGGATAAATAGCTAATGCCTGCAGGGCTTAATACCTAGGTGCTGGGTTGAGAGGCGCAGCAAACCATCGTGGCACACTTTTAGTATGTAACAAACCTACACGTCCTGAACGTGGATCCTGGAACTTTTTTAAAAAAAACAGAAGAGGTACTAGTGTCTGAATTTAATAGATGAAGAATCAAGACACAAAAGGGTTAAGTGGCTTGCTCAAGATCACATGGATGATATCTCAGACCATAACTGGGT